GTCACGAATGCAGATTGAGTAAAATGAGATTAGAATTGGCAATTAGTATAAAGAAACTAGAAAGGATTATTTCAAATTATAAAGATGGTGTCTCAAATTTTTAACAGGGAAAATAAGTTAAATTCACATGTACAACTCTTTTATCTCTGGAACAATTAAAATAAGTATAAGAGATAAAATGGTATAAATGTGTACAGACTGATGATGGGGGATGTCAACAATATTTTGGATGGTATAAAGCTGGTGAAGGAGATAACAGAATAGAGTAACTGAATACTAAGTGCTAGTGAGAAGCGAGCCCATCCATGCCTTAGGACCCCAGAAACAATTAGCAAGCACTGCAGAAAGAGAGAATGAGACACAGGCTGAAAATACACGAGTGGGTTGAATGTCGATTCTTCTCCTGAATCCTTTCTGGTTTAGCATCTATCCTTCTTCTGCCTAAATAGGATACTGGGAGTTGTTTCAAGTGGAGAAATTAAATGAGAAATCTCCAGATCTGGGTTCACAGATACTGTGGGAAGCAAGAGAGGAGAGGAATTAAATGACCATCAAAATACTGAACTTTGTGACTTAGGAACTCTGTGCTGCTTGGCTTTAATAACTGGTGGATAAGGCTATAACAATCCTTATGACCACATTCCACTCCAGTAGGGAGATTAGAGGACCCTTAACTTGAGAAACTGAATGGAGCAGGGGGAAAATCCTCAGGGAATCTGATATTTGGAGCTAGTCCCACCCCCAAATGAAGCTCATTTATCCCCAATTACCTCAAATTAAAGCCACTAGTTGACAGACTCTGTCATTCCATAAAGCGTCTTCTGATCAGCAGTTCTTTAATGTCATAAATTCCTTAAAGACTTATGCACAATAAAGCATTGCCAGATAATTGAGGAAAGAGTCTCACATAAAAGAAACTAATGGGTGTGGGTGGGAAGATTCATAGGAAATAAACAATAATATAGGAAGAAAATTTTTCTTAGTAATATCTGAAAGATAAGAGGATATTCATTTATCAAATAATAAACTTCTGCAAAAATACAGTCAAGAATCAGAGAGAGCTCTTAGAAACTAAAAATAGGAAAGTGAAATAAATTCAAGAGAAAGTTTGGACAGTAAAGCTGATACAAAAGACTAAGAGACTGACAATTTGTAGAAGAAAGCATAGGTGAAAAGATTCGTAACACTGGATTTGACATTGATTTCTTAGATATGACAACAAAAACACAGACAGCCAAAGCAAAAATAAATAAATTGGCTACATAGAAAAAAATCTTCTGTCATTCAATCAATAGCGTGAAAATGCAACCTACAGAAAGGGAGAAATAATTTGCAAATCATATCTGATAAAGGGTTAACATCAAGAATATATAATGATCTTCTACGAAGAACAACAAAAACAAACAGCCCAATTAAAAAATGGGCAAAGGATCTGAACAGATATTTATCCAAAGAAAATACACAAATGAACAAAAAGCACATGGAAATATCCTCAGTGTCACACAGGGAAATGCAGACCAAATGGGGTGCTACCCTCATACCCACTGGGACAGCTGCTTTTAAAAAAACAGAAAATGTCAAGTGTCAGTGAGGATGTAGAGAAATTGGAACTTTTGTGCTATCTGGGAATATATAATGTTGAAATTGCTATGAAAAACAGTATGATGGTTCCGGAAGAAACTAAAAGTAAAATTAACATATGGTCCAACAATTCCACATTTATGTATATACCCTCAAATTTGAAGGCAGCATCTGAGACATTTATACACCCATGTTCACAGCAGCCTCATTCACCAAAAGTCCATTGATGAATGTATGGATAAACAAAATACATGCACAATGGAATATTACTCAGCCTTAAAGGAAAGAAATTCTGACACATGATACAACATGGCTGAACTGTGAGGACATTATACTAAGTGAAATAAGCCAGCCACAAAAATACAACACTGTATGATTCCACTTATATGAGTACCTAGACTAATCAGAAGCCTAGAGACAAGAAATAGAAGGGTAGTTTTAAGGGGCTGAGGGGAGGGAGGATGGAGAATGGTTTGATGGGTAGAAAGTTTTAGTTTTGTAAAATGAAGTTAGTTCTGGAGACTGATTGCACAACAATGTGAATGTATTCAGTATCATTGTTCTAAGAAGAGGAATAGCTTGAGGAAACAGTATAAGAAGATTCTCCAGACTGAAAAACATGAGTTTCCAGGTTGAATGGGCTTATGGAGTACTTAGCACAGTTAATGTAAATATACCCACTTACATGGCCAATCACTGTAAATTTTCATGATTCCAAGAATGAAAAGAGGGTCTTAAAACTTTCCGGGAGGGAAAAAAGAGCCACACACATACCAAGAGTCAGAATATCATCTGTGTTCTTAAGAGCAATGCTTGAAGGTAAGAGACAAAGGATTAAGGAAGAGCTTCAAAATTCTGAAAGAAACAACATCCAAACTGGAATTCCGTAATCCACCAAAGAATCAATCAGGTGAGAGGTTGGAATACAGACCTCTGCAGGCATACAAAGCCTCATAATGTTCACTTCTCATGCATCTTTTCTCAGGAAATACTGGAGATGTGTACCACCCAAATTAGAGGATAAAGGAGGAGGAGAACTTAGTTTCCAAAAATTAGGAAATCATCAGAGGAGAGAGATAAAAGGAAGTCCCATAACGCCAGGTGCAAGTTTCCATCAGTTTGAACAAGAGCAACAGAGCAAAAGATTTCCGGGAGTGATGTCTCCAGGAAAACAGTTGGCACTGATAGAATTATCTGATATGTTTGTGTGGTAATTGGTGTCTAGAGAGATTTTCTTTTTCCTTTTTTTTCTTTTTCTTTTTCAATGTTTGGGAGGCCTCTTGAAGTGTCATAGAAAAGTAAACAACAACAAAAAAAGCAGTAATTAGCTTGTACAAAAAGTCATATATGAAAAAGAAGTTTGCCTTAGCAGTAATAATCCTTACACAGCTAAAATACTGATTTGACAAAAACTGGTGAAATGAAAAAATCTGGGAGACAGAGGAAAGTGGAGGTATGGGATGGTGAGTGAGTACAGGATTTCGGGAGCACTAAATCCTTGTCTTAGTCAAGAAGAGTAAGGAAGTCAGGGAGATGACGTCTAAATTGATAGCTCAAGAAAGAACAGAATTAAGTCATTCAGCTAGGATGTAACAGTGTCTGCCACATGCCAGGCATCTTTGCAGGTGCAGAGGGAGACACGGTATATGATACAATCAATATCTCTGCCTTCATAAAGCCTACAGCTTAGAAATACGGAGACACATAGCAGAAGAAACATGTGAATAAAAAAAGTGATTGACTTTGGGGAGGGAGGCTCAGGGATGAGGAGGTAAGGCAGGCTGGCTATTTTTATGATGCTCTTTTTGGTAATTTGACTCTTTAAAGTTATGGCATACAATAGTCTGAAATTTAAAAAAAAAAGCTTTAAAAATGTTAAAGTCTATTCATTCTCCTTGCAGGTTTTCTCATCTGTTAGTCTTCAATTTTCAACTAATACTAAAAAAAGTTGTTTACCTCTATGTGATGCTGTGCCTTTGGGTATCTTATACCATCTATGGAGGCTTGTAGAAATAAATGATGGTTCATTCACATAGTGAAATATTATGTGACTTTAAGAATAACGACAAGCTTTAGGCATGGTGAAATTACCTCCAGTATGCATTAAGGAAAAACTTTTTTAAAAGTTAGGTTTTGAATAGAAGGAAAGGAAATGGTGGAATATAGTGTGTTTCCTCTTCTTTTACATAAAACACCAGGAAAGTGTCCTGCAGAGGGCAGAGCAGTGAAAGTGGGAGATGTACTTACATGGAAAGAAGACTTTTTAATGTATGCCTTATAATTTTATTTTTGAATGTGTGACTATATTATCTATTAAATCCCCTTTTACACCCACCACAATGGCAGAAGTTGAAATGTCAGACAATGTATGTGTTGGCCAAAATGTGGTGCAGAGAAACTTCTCATCCAGTACATTTTATAGTAAGGT